TTCCAGCCCAATCCATATGCATTGTCAGAATTATGCATTTTGACATCATGCATTGTGAGATAGTCAACTGTATATCCATTTACGGCATTACCATACGAGTCCGGGCCGGTCTTGTGTTCGACTGCGCGTCTATCGTTTACGATCTAATGCAGGCTGTGTCCAAATGACCATCAGCTCTTTCCCGTTGTTTTGCCCAGATCCTCTATCAAACAGCAGCCTAGGCGATAACATAGCCCATCGCAAGTTGATGTGGTCTTGAAATAGCCACCGGTGTCGCGTCCTCGATTGCTAAGCTGGATCCGAGTCAGAAACCCGCATTAAATTTTCTAGATGTCAGAACCATCTGTTGATGCAAAATCTCCGCCCTTGGCCCTTCTTTGCTTCTTTTCTTACTGGCATCTATGAACTCTGGGTCTCCACGCTGAGGACACTTAAATAGACTTGAGAATCTCGACTTCATGGAGCGCATACACGACGCCCATGGGATACAACAAGGCATGTGAGAATACATCCATCTCTATTCTCAGTATCATCTTTCAGTGTCTCTGGGGGACATCGTCCAACGCGTCAATAATCGTGGAAGACTATCTTTCAAGATCGCATAACTCCGAAAACCTCCATGCAATTCTCTGACGAGGGTCAATATTCTCAAGCACTTTGAGCCCTGTATGCAAGAGCTGTGATACTTTCCCGAAAAGCCGAGACAGCTGTTAGCACACATCGGCTTCATCCTTACTGGTATATTTCTTTCTGCTTTTGTTGAATAGGGTAGTTGATTTGTTTTTTTTTCATAGAACATCCTTCAGCTCTCAAGGTTAAACGACCTGCGATCTACCGTATGAGGTCCTCTCCTATGGTCTGCCGACCGTCGGATTGTCGGAGACGTGGGCGGACAAAATCTTGGTCGTGCATCCGCGCTCTGGCTGAATAAATCTCGAGGGATGTTGAACGATACATAGATCGGCTCCGTTGGTCATATCGACTTCCTTTCAACACGAACCATCGAATTTCATACACAGCTCCTTGTTGCTGTGCCTGCGTCGTCACTGTACATTACCTCATGGACAGGAACCGTTATCCTGCATTCAGCCACCCATTACGCAGCTCCAGCGTCTATATTCCCACCCTGCGTGGCGGTGCATTCCTTAGTTTTTCGGATAGGTCCTTGCACGTGGCTGCTATCCCGACAAGTCGCCGTAACGGAAGTCTACACCGTGAGTGGCTTTGTCCTTCTTACCCCTCTCAGCTTTTATTCAATTATTGGCAAATTGTTTTGTCCAGGCAGGCTCAGGCATTTCTGGACCGCAAACGCTGCACTTATCAAGCGGAACGTAGTAGCACTAGCTTGTTGTCGTTGTCAGGATCTGTGGGAACCGCGAACGTGTCGAGTATGTACCTGTCACGTTCACGATATATGTGCTTATGATAATGTGTCTTTTATCAGAGCCTATGTCTCAGAGCAAGCAGTGTAACTGTTACATCATTAGCACAGCTTTCTTCCCCTTCCCCCCCCCCCCCCCCAGCATATATATAGACACCGGAAGCAGGTGCTACTTTCACTCGATGGCTATGCAAATTCTGTCGGTTATCCATCCGAATTTGAGGTGTAAACACTGCGCGTTTTGACTCGTCCTAATCATTCCGATGCTTATATGTAGCTGTGTGGACGCCACCGGACCAGTGCGTACCTTCGGCTTTGGTTTTGGCTTTGGCTCTCTGAGTGACTCGGAGGTCTAGGTCTCTCGGAGTCATTTAGCGGCGTTGCAAATCCGGGGCGCAGCACGCTGATACTTATCTCTTTGAAACACTGGTACCCAGCTAGTTCTGATACAGCCCGTACATTTGCCAGGTCTTCAGGACTCCATGATAGTCGGAAACTGGAACTCACGCACGGCACTGTATTGGTGATTCCTCAGCTGTAGAAGTGTGCCGAGCTGGATATGCTGCATACGCAAGCGTCTCGCTTAGCTGTACCTCGATTAAGCTAGGTGGCGTATCCATAACAGCAACACGAAAGCGACGATGATCCGCAAGGTGGCGAGTTATTAATATATGTTTATAGTGGATTGGGTTTTACAACAGCGCCCATGTTTTCCTCGGCCATCAATGTCGTGACTCGCAAACACTGATAAAGGACAGATAGTGTACCGCTTTCTGCTGTATGTCGCAAGATTGCAGCTCGCCTCGACCGTTCTTGAATCAGTGAGGTCCTTGAGGGTCCTCGTACATGTAAGATCTCGATCATTGTTTTGTACATCTGTATTTCATTGATATGGACCGCCGCTGAACAGGGTAATATCATGATTATGATGCATGATGCGCGCGCGATTTACAATTTCCCAATGCCTTTAAAGACCGTTGCATAGATTCAGTATCCGACTACGACTATCACCTTCAATATGGACTCGGCGAACCTCTTCGGTTCTGGCCTTCGATCCATACACCGTTTTCTGCTCGCTTTGTTAGGCCGATACTTTCTTGCAGCATCACGACAATGGTCAAAACGGACTGTAAGGGACCATTGCGAGATATCTGAAAAGTCACCTCTTTCCCCTCTATCCGCACAGTCTCTGGTTTCCGGCCGTAGTTTTGGTCCCCGTGTTGAAGTACGATTCGAGAGCATCCACAGTGCCTTTCAAGTCTCTGCGCTTATCGATCCCGCGCAAGAAGCTGTTGTGGACCACCTCGGTAATTGCCTTTCGTACGGGGAGCTGGATAGGCTGTCTTTGCGCCTTGCCTCATATCTAAGGTCTCGGGGCGTTGGTCGTGGATCTCTTGTTGGCCTCGTCGTTCAGCGGTCGATTCCTCAGGTGGTTGCTATCCTTGGGGTTCTTCGCGCCGGCGCTGCGTATATTCCCTTAGACGGAGACGTCATAACCGATGATACCCTGAAGGGTATCATGGACACTGCCGATCCTTCCTACATATTGATATCAAAAGGGTGCCTTGCTCGGGCGGCTATGCTGAACCATCCACATGGGTGCTTGGAAGACATCATTGATGTAATCCAACAAGCACAAGATGGATACGTCGACTTTGACAGCCCTATTTCGCGAAGAACTGACACAGCCTACATTATATTCACTTCGGGTATGCACATCGGTTTGAATTCTTGCAACATATTTCTCATTTTTCATGGCACAGGTACTACGGGAAAACCCAAAGGAGTAATGGTGAGTCACTCCAATGTCGTAAACTGTGCGTCGTCATACCATATCTATGACTCAAGCGCGTCGTCCTGACCGAAATTTAGTGCTTTCCCTGGCCCCGGGAAATCTGGGTATCAAGCCGGGAGTCAAGGTTGCGCAACTCATGAACGTTGCTTTTGACATGTGTGCATGGGAAACCCTTGGCTGTTTGATGAACGGGGGAACTCTGTATCTGCGAGGACCGCATCGGTGCGACTGGATCAAGGTCCTGAAGACGGTCGATGTTGTTATTGCCACACCTTCCATACTGGCTCCCCATGATCCTAAGGACTTCCCGAATATACGTGTCGTCGCTACTGCTGGGGAACCTTGCCCTCAATCGTTGGCGGATAAATGGGCTATGCAGACAACGTTCTACAACTGCTGTGGACCTACAGAGGTGCGTACGAGTGTACCGACGCTATGTCAAAGTCTCACGTTTCTTTCCAGATTACTATTGTCAATACCATGCACCGTCACATCCCCCATACAGCTCTCTCCATAGGGAAGCCGACACCTAACAACAGTGTCTATATCCTGGACGACTATCTTCGACCCGTACCTGTTGGAACTGCCGGAATCATGTGGGCTGGCGGGGATGGTGTTTCGAAAGGGTACCTCGGATTGGATGACCTAACGTCCCAGAGGTTCTTGGCAGATCCTTTCAGAGGCGGCAGGTACGTGATGGCACCTTGCTTTCTTATCAACCGCTAAATATCCTAAATTTTTTTTTTACCCAGGAAGATGTATAACACCGGGGACATCGGCAGGTGGAGGGATGACGGCTCCATCGACCATCTAGGTCGCGTTGATGATCAAGTCAAGATCAAAGTGGGTTCTGGGCGTGTTATTTGTGGTTCACTTTTCCTGGCATACTGATTACGATTTAGGGATTTCGCGTCGAGTTGGATGGTGTCAGTGCCGCGATGCTTACTTGTCCCGACGTTACTGGTGCTTGTGCTGTTCTCGTCGGTGACGAGCTCTTTGGTTTTTACACTCCTCCCTCGGTCGGTATTGCTCCTGTCCGAGATGCCGTCTGCAGAATGCTTCCCCGATACTCCGTACCGTCTAAATTCGTATCGCTATCCGCTCTTCCGCTGACAAAGTATGTCCTCCTTTTTTTTTAAAAAAAAAAGAAAAGTCATTGCTTGAATCCTCGTTGACTCTCTGTTTTTGAAGGAACGGGAAAATAGACAAGGCGAAACTCAAAGAGAATGCTGCTGCGCAACGACCCTGATAACAGACCTTGTGATACCCGCTTTATATCCCTTCTACCATACAATCAGCTGGCTTATCTGGGTCCGGTCACCTTAGCAGCTCACATATCTAATCTCTGTTACCCCGAGCAGAGCGTATCGTCGCTGCACCACTCCATGCTATTATTTACTCACGAACACCTAGACCTCGGTGTACAGATGCAGACGCCTACCTACTGTAATGTCTATTACTTGTATACACATCGATACTACTTTCAGGATTATGACACTATTATTAATGGTCTTGTATTTTTTTGCATGTTACATATATTATGTTACGTAGTATGTATTGCTTTTGAGGGTTCCCCGTTTCATGTTGTACGTTCGCGTTCTAAAGGTAGGAGTTATCCATATCGCCCTATAGGCTGCAAGCATTGCTCCAGTCTTCTAGTCATTGCATTAGACGATGACATACCCTCTATTGAAAAAATATACCTTTTCTAAAGTCTTCTTGCGGGCAGTGGGGGAGGGGAGAAGCTGTTTGCCGGAAGAACGTTTCTGCTTTGCCCACGGGTCCCAGCACCCTCGACCCCTCGTTGTAGGCTTCCCACCCCCCCTTGCCTCAATGCCTCAATGCTGTGGTCAGCAGCAGCCCTCAAAGCGTTGGTTTCAGACGCGTGGCGTCGGACACGTGTGCATGAACCCTCATCATGCATCATGATGGAGGATTATATTCGTTCCAAACCCTCGCCGGTCCACGTCCCTCCCATATATTTTTCGGACCTAAAAGCCCGCAAAAGAAAAAAACTAGTGTAGTGTTGCCTATCGCATATCTCAGACTTCTTCTAAAAAAACAACCCACGCACGGTCCTTTCTCCATTGATTGATTGACTGACTGACTGTAACTGCCTGCCGCAATGGAGAGCAAGCACATCTTCCAAATCGGCTCGCCAAGCCCAAGTGAGTGTCGTTGTTTCTATTCTCCTGCAAAAGCGAAAAAAGACCAACACCGACACCGATAAGAAGATAGCAAGCAAGCATTCAAATGATCCTATGAATAACCCACAAATGGAGGCTTATCATCACGAAAAAAGGACCGTACAGTGGCGGAACAAGATGTGGGCAAGTACACTTACTTACAAAGGGCAGCTCAGTAGTATCACTACAGATAAGCGAGAACGAACGCCATATCCTACTCCGTCGCATTGAGAACGATAACAAGTCCGAGTCCTTATCCCTCCAACGTAAGAGATAAAGAGATAAAGGGAAAAAAAAGTGCTGGGGTATTATGTTCAATGTGTGAGTAAAGAATACAATTGATGTACTTAGACTGTCCTAGTATGCTATTAATAATGACGGCAGGGTGGGTTTCCAGCAGAGCGGGTACATTTCAGTTCCCCCTTTCTCTGCTGGCTCATAAAGTTTTAACGGTCCAAAAATAATGGGAGAACAAAAACAAGCTTTGAAGAGATATAAATCCAAAAAGAAAAAGAACGTCAAGGAGACCCCTAAACAATGGAGGGAAAAAAAAAAAGTTCATGTTCCAGCTTTCCAGCTCGACGGTGGGGGCCTTCGTGGACTATTACTGCCGCTGCTGGGTCTAACTGGATTAGCAGGCTGACTGACAGTTCGAGTCCTGGGATTCGTAACACCCTGTCCACCAACCATCGACGGCCGCTGCGCTTGCGAAGGAACAGGCGGCACCGGGGGGACGTACGCAGAGTCTCTACCACCCGTTCCCCGACCGCCACCACCACCACCACCACCAGTCCTACGCCGATTGCCAAACGACTCTCCATACACGCTCTGCGAAGAATTCCAAGCGGTCCCACGACCTCCACCACTACCACCACCATACTCGCTCCGTGCCCCACCTCCATACATGGACTGGGCCGAAGGGAATATCATCGAGCCAGCAGAAGACCAGCCACCGCCCATACCATACATCGACGGGACACCACGACCACCACCGTACATGCTCCCCCCACTGTTAAAGCCGATAGCAGAGGTACGCTCCCACTCATCGCCAGCAGCAGCCATAGCCTGCTGCGCCACCGCCATTTGATAAGTCTGCTTTGCATACATCATAGCTTGCTGGTGCGCAGCGAAAAAGGCAGGATCGCCAGGGGGAGGCGTAGGCCCCATGAACTGCGCGGGGCTGAGCATCCCAGGGTTGCCCATACCCATCGCCATCTGCGGCCACCCGTTCCAACCAGGTGCGGGCCCACCGAATCCCATCTGCATAGACATCGGCCTACCCATCACCGGTCCCAATGTACTCATCCGCGCAGAGTTTATCTGGCCGATAGGCGTATCCTCTTCGTCGTCAACGATAGGTCCAGGTCCATTAATGACATTGCCCAGCTAAAACAAAGCAAAGCATATCAGTTTCAGATTCACAAGCGTCGACAACCCAAAAAAAAAAAAAAAAAACACACACCTCAATAGCAGCCTTCGCTTCATCTCTCCGTCGATCTCGCCTTCGCGTTTCGTCATCCTCCGGCTTATTCTTGCCTTTACCCGGAACAGCCGCGTCATCCTCAAAGCTGACACTACGACGCTTTGCATGTCCCTTGGGACCCAACCCCAGACCGCTAGCGCCTCCACTCCATTGCTCCCCCTTGGACTCACGTCCGCTGGTCGTACTTGCAATATCGCTTCCATCCCTCGGAGTTAACGGAGCACGTCCACTGCTCGAATCGCCCGTAGAACTCGCTGGACTCTCCCGCAGCGTAGCAAAAGGCTTCGTAGGTACAGGGAACATTGCTACTTTTGGTGACGCAGGGATCGACATCAAAGGCATCATTGAACTGCTGCGCGGCCTGGAATTATTACCTGCGGAATTAGGAACTGCGGATTTCGGTACATTAGGCACGGAGGCGCTCGCGATTTTCGTATTCTTCGGAGGAGGAGCACGAGCTAGTGGAAGAGGAGGGGGAGTAGCCTTGACAGGAGTACTGTTTGCAGGAATATCGGAAGAAGCTGTCGTTGGACTGGCTGGAATGACAGTACTACTACGTTGCCGGGGTTGGGATACATCAACACCACTGATACTCGCAGCACCCTTCTGTTGCTGGGGACGAGAGGTGACGCTGAAAGACGGTACTGGTGTACGACGAAGAATAGGAATCGGGGGAGAGATCGACTCAGGAGGCGGCGCCGCCTTCCCTCTACCCTCCGTCTGATCATCAGAATCTTCTTCGTCCATCTCGTCCTCCGTCGTCTCCTCATCCTCCGCCCTCATTCCCGGAAAGCTCTTCTTCTTCCCAGGGAAAACCTTCTTAGTGAGCTCCTCTTCTTCCTCGCCCTCTTCCTCGCCATTCTTACTGATCAGCCGAATCCCGCCTCCCAGCATACGCGCTAATTCATCCATGTTATCATCCGTGGATCGAGTTCGCACCGAGGGATTATCACTAGACGTCCGACGGTGCCCAATTTGTCGAATTGTGCTGTGCGGATCCGTGGGAGGATCTGTCCATAGCGTGGGTGTCTGCACCGGTCTCGCAGGAGTCATTTGAACACGGTCTGAAGACGCGGTGCTGCGTCTGCCAGAAGGAACAGATGAGGACGTGGCAGAACTCAAGGACGCAGCACTACTTGCTGAACTCATCATTACCTTGCCGAGACGTTCGTTCAGACCCTCTCTAACAGCGGACTCCGCCGTCTCTTTGCGCACGGGAATCGTCCTCTGTGGGACAACAGGGGAAGGGTCCACGCTCAAGGTCCTTGCAGCCTTCACTGGCGAACCTGGTGGGGAGACGAATGGAGCGGGAGGGGAGGTTGACGTGATAGGCAGTGTCGGTGGCGTCATTGACACGGGCGACGAGACCAGGGTTTTGCCAGGGGTGAATGCAGGCGAAGGGGCAGATGTATTGGGCCCAGACTCAAGGGGACGGCGATTGGGGCCCGTGAGGGTATTAATGTCAATCAAAGGTTTTATCGCGCGAGCAGAAGATTGGGAACGGTTGGATTGCTGGGACATGGAACTACCTGGGCGACGTGGGGGAACGAGGGAAGCGAGCGGCGCATCATCCTCTGAATCAGACGTATCGGAATCCTGAGAGACGACAATGCTACGACGAACTGTAGCCGGAGGATTAGACACGGAAGAAGCTTCACGTATGTGCCGTGACTGTCGTGAGGAGTCTGGCAGGTAGTTGCATTAGAGACGCAAGCATGAATCAATGTCTGAAACCATACCTGCACCAGGATTCGAATTGGCAATTAGACTCGCTCGTTGTGCTGGAGCACTGGGGGACGCTCCGCTTGTCGACAAGCTGGCACGCTTGCGAACGTCCGGATTCGACACCGACGCGGGCATTCGGGGAGGAGGTTGTCTTGGAGGGCGAGAATGTACGTGAGACGAGGAAGAGGATCCATGTCCAATTTCGGACTGTGTGGCTCTGGCTTTCCCACCTCTTGCTTTCATGTGTTGCGTAAGTGTACGTCTGCGACCAAGGTTACTCTTCGTAGCACGACCATCGTCAGAGTCGACTTCTGACGATGAAGCTGATTCATCTGAATCTGAATCATATACCAGAGACGACAGCCTCCGACCGTCCAGAGGGTTTCGGCTCACCGATCTTGACGCGATTCTAGCATGAGGAGGTTGCTGCCGCGGACTAGGTGGAACGTTGGGCAGTCCTTTACCTTGATCATGCTGTGGCCCTGGACTGATTGACCTAAAGGAAGGAACAGGGGATCCTGCAGCGCTTCTGCGGGCCTGAGCTTCTCGAAAGGCGGCTACAGATATACGTTGTGAAGAGTCGGAGGCAGTACTGGCATTCCGAGGACGCACTACCGGTACCGCCGGTGGCTGCAACGAGGCCGCGGATGCTGTAGAACGCGCAGGTGATGGCGGACGAACGTGACGGAAGGACTTGAGATTAAAAGAAGATTCCGCGTCGATTGGCGGAGAGAGTGGCGAAGAAGCGGCAGGTTTCGCCGTTTGCAAAGCTGATTTCGTCGGTGTAGAATTCTGAGATTTCGACCAGTTAAAGAAAGGTCGTTTTTGAGTATTGGAAGGCGTTGGAGAATCTGAATGAGGGTATCGTCTATCACTGGGTAAAGAGCGCGTGGATAGCGCGCTTTGTGGGTCACCGTAGGTAGCGAATACGGACCTCTTCGTCGGTGGTGGTACAAGGCGGTGAGGATCTGCCTCCGCATCTGACATCGCCCCACTGTTGAGTCCCCCTAGGTACCCTGGCCGCGCCCCATCACCGGCATAGTCTGTCAAGTTCGAGACCGTCGAGGATGATGCTGCCATCTTTTTCCGACCAAATGGAAGACGAAGCTTGCTCGACGAGGCCCCCGCTGATGGATAAACATTCATAACTGAAGGTCTTGCAGCATCGCGAGGGTGCAGGAGGTCTCGCCCACTCGGACTTGACGGCAGCGACCTGTCCGTGTGTATGTACTCGGACGTCGGCGATGACAAGGCGGATTCGAACTCTGAATTCAAGCTGTTGATGCTGGGCGAGCCCCTCGTCACGTCACCCTTCCTCGCTGCCTTGTTTTTCTTCGAAAAAATTCCAAGCAAAGGCATGGCGGGAATCTGACGACTTCTGCACCGCCAACAATTGAGTAAGCGATGGCATATGAAGCAAGGCGAGAGTACCTGTATCCGTTTTCCCAATACGCTCGTCGTCGCTGGCGACGATGGAAAGTGGCTCTCCTGCCTGCAGAGTAATAGACAGCGCAACAAAACGTTGGCGAACGAAAGAAGGGCAAGGGTCGAGACGTCTAGCTCGGCACGTGGCAAGGCGGCAGTAAATGTCCCCAATAGGAAATCGCTGTTTTTTTCGGTTTCAGCTTCCTCCTATGACACCGCCGTGCAAAGCGGTGAGTCTGTCTATTGCGACTGATTTATTAAAATAAAGTGAAGATCTTCCTATTGCCTATATATTTCCCTGGCCTCCTTCTCCTCCCCCCTCCTTCGCTGGTACGCGACTGGTTTTTCCCAAGCTAAAGGTACTCCTTTGCCTCCCCCCCTTTTTGTCATATGTGGCATTAGTTCCGTAAACACGTTCCAGCTGGAATGTGGGGCAGCCGGTTGCATTTCTCTGGTCTTCTCTCTTAACGACATCACGACATCATGCCTTCCACTTCATGACGACGATTGTGTGGCTAAGATTTACTACTTAGTCCAAGCTCTGGGACGATGCCCCTTCTATCTGGTGTTGTCCCGACCGCCTGATCACGATCGTGATAATCTTTCTGTCCGTGATGGTTGCTCTTTCGGGTTGTTACCCGGGGACGTCCATGCGTGGGGGACACGCCACTAAACGGAGAGAATGTAGAATTAATATTGGAGGTACATAGCACAGCGATCCCCGTCTGTCTGTCTCCCGCCCCACTCCTTCTGCGATGGAGTACGCAACATTAACGCAATAATGCGGTAATTTGTGAGAGAAGCACACCTAATCGATGATTCTCTGAGGCTTGTCCGATGACTTTCCGTCATTGCCCTCGTTCTCGAATACGATTTGAGCTAGGCTACTTCCTGCGTCTTCCCCCCCCCGGATGATTCTGACCCCCTTCTTCTCTCAATGCACCCAAAGGAGCATTTAACCGAGCCTCGTATCACTCTGATGCTGTGATCGCCGGGACTTCTGAGCGGAGACCCACTTTCTCCAGATCTAGGTGCGAATCCCTTCCCCGTATACATCTTTTGCGTGATAATTATTGAATATTGTTTTGTTTGCCAGGGTCGATCGTCACTCAATGTAAAAGAGACAAACAATAACTGTCTTGCCCTTGCACGGTAGTGGAACACGAATCGAGGAGGGTACGGAGTTCACTTGGCTTTGCGCTTTGCGGGATTAGGCTAGCTCCCGTCAGCGGAGTATACGTTGAAAAAAAAACAATGCTCACCATTCTACCTATGTACTAGTGGATGACGATCGTACGGTGCTCTCCGCGTCCCTCGAATTTCTGATATAGGGGATCTTCTATGTACTATCGACAATCTCCGTTCTATCTAGAACTAGTGGCGATAATGACGTGCAAATCTACAGTGGCGCTCTTGCATGACCTTGAGGGAATCTGTAGCAGTGTCTTCATCAGGTTCTTTCTACCCGGTTCATTGGACGTCATAGCTGAATTCGGAGAAGTAGAGGTAACTTTATATTTGGGTGGTCAACCCCATGCTCTCGACAATGACCTTGCAGGTTCTGTCCATTACGAAGGTACGTGATTACCGGGGGTGCGAGTGAAATGTCCAAGAAAGTGGTAACGAGAGTGTGACAATTCACATGTCGTCGAGAATGGCGACGGTACCGGTATAACAGAACTCCCGCTTTTGTTTCCCACAGAGATGGGTGTGTTTTTCCCCCGAGCTGCCAAGGCCCAACGTAAAGACAACCTCAAGCTGTAGAACATCAACCTGTAGTGATTGAAGGACGAGGAACACTAATAAATACGCCACAAAGAAATCCTGCGTTTGTTAAAAAGCATACGGACCTGACCTCTTGTAATTGAAACCATTAGCCCGTCGTGATGGGAAGTTTCCATTCTGGGCCTAGTTGCCAGCCGAAAAGCCCGGCTAAATTTTGTCACAAAGCTTCCACATTTAGACACCTCCAGTCACTCGTCCTCGTCGACATTTGTCATTGTCAGACCTTCACCGCCCTGCTGTGGCTCACTCTCTTAACGAACGCCGCTCATTGTCTCACTCAACCTGCTCGAGGCAGGAATTAATCCTCGATCATGGAATTTCCCACTCAGCGACGACCGCCACGCTCAGCTCGTCCTGGCCAACACAGCTCGCAGGAGCAACCCCCGCGAAACCAGTTCTTGCCCTCAGAGGGATCTAGAGGCAACGTATCCTTTCAAAATGTAGAGCAGGGCGACCGCCATAGCGCGCTTGACCAGCAGCGTCAGCGTTCGTTGCCATCGGCATACCAGAACAACCAGTTTTCAGCGGACGTAGAGGCATTGGACAATGGTGCGGACCCAGCAAGGGTGGGAAGGAAAAAGAGCCTTGTGAGGCCTGACCGTGAAAAGATAGAGCCTGGCCACAGGCAATGGCATTACCGAAGTCATGTCGCCCAGTTGGAAGAAGAGGGCACGGGCAGACTGGGCGTTATACCCTCAAGTGAGTGTAAATTTTTTGCAAAGTCTTCCTTCTCAATAGTCTCGGATTAGCAACGGGAAACTATCCTCAGACGGACTTGCGTAGAGGAAAGTCAATTCTTGGTCGCGACGAGGATGTGCACGAGTCAGGTCTTTCCTTGTTCAAGCGCGGCACGACGTTGCGTCGGAAGCGGCAAGTTACCTCGCCATCGCAGTCACCCATGCTCCCACAGGAAAAGCAGAGGACGGGGTGCCTGGGCGACTTTGCACCTGGCCCAAAGGGACCATGGATGGTATACTGTTACCTGTTGACATGCTGGATCCCTACTCCTCTAATGCGAGCATGCGGTGAGTTTACTTCTACTTGCATATACATTTATTATCTCATTCAGTGATCAGGTCTGCGGAGTCCCGAACAACAGCGCGCTTGGAGGGAAAAGATGGGGCTGATTAGCATTATTATGATCCTCATGGCGGGTGTTGGATACATCACTTTCGGGTTCACCGAGTCCGTCTGCGGTACACCGGCCAATCGATACCACGGAGGTGCCATCGGAGACTCATACATCGGCAAGGGCTCCATCACCATCCACGGATATGATTACGATGTTTCCACATTCAAGCATCCCGCAGTTGGCACCTTCAATGGCGAGACGACCATTCTCGACGACTGGCCGGGCTTGGCGGGTAACGATGCGTCATTCTTGTTCCAAGTTACAAACGAGAACTGTCTCGGTATCATTACCAAGGCATCATCGTCTAGCATCACTGGAAGCGGCGACACCCTCGACTGGTATTTCCCGTGCAACATTTTCGATCAGGACGGTTCATCGGGTGTTAACCTTACGGACTATGAGGATTCGACAAATTGTCATGCGAATTCGACCGCCCGTTCGGAATTCAAATCAATGAAGGCCCAGGGCGAGGTCTATTTCACATGGAATGACGTTCGCAGTACAACTCGAAATCTTGCGGTTTATGAACAGTGAGCAGCATTTATATGGTATGAAGCTGTTATTGAAAAAGTGAAAAGGAATGTCCTTGATCTTAACCTTCTCAACTGGCTCAGCGGGGCCCAAGTAGATTACCCGTCAATCTTCGACGAAATGAAGACAGCCAACGGTACATACAATGGTCGGGATCTCACTATGATGTTGATGCGCACCAAGCAAGAAGATATTGGTCACTGCTTACAAGATGTCATCACCATCGGCTTTATCGATACCAACAGTATCGGTTGCGTTGCATCCGATGTCGTTTTATACCTTTCGCTCATTTTCATTGTTGGAGTGGTTGTCATTCGTTTCGGCATGGCTGTGTTGTTCCAGTGGTTCTTCTCGTGGAGACTGGGCAACTTTCCCAAGGAAACATACGACCAACGCATGCAGCGATCGCAGGAAATCGAAAACTGGACTAATGATATTTATCGGGCCGCTCCCAGCGAGTATCGACCGAACGTCAGCAAGCATGGTCTTCGGAGCAATAAGAAGGGCTTCTTGCCCAGTACTTCTCGCTTCACACCTGCTGAGAATACACTCGGTAGACCCACGACTGCGTACGGTATGCTGGATTCCTCGTCGTCTTCGAATTACAAGAGGTCGGTTTATGCGCCGTCTGTGAAGGGCACTGGGAAAGCTCCGGCGGATTCTGCTAGTTACCGTCCGTCAAAGAGCGTGGTCTCTTTGGGCGATCGTAGCACGTTCATCGAGAGCCCGTGTCCCTTCCCTCTGCATAACGTCGTTCCCCAGCCCCCTCATGACTTTGAACCGTTCAATTTCCCTCTGGCGCATACCATATGTTTGGTCACGGCTTACTCAGAATCCGTAGAGGGTTTGCGCACGACCCTGGATTCTTTGGCCACGACGGATTATCCGAACAGTCACAAGCTAATTTTGGTTATCGCTGATGGAATGGTCAAGGGTGATGGGAATGATAAGACAACTCCGGACATCTGTTTGTCCATGATGAAGGACCTCGTCATCGCGGCGGACGATGTTGAGCCGCACTCTTATGTCGCCATCGCTGACGGACACAAGAAGCATAACATGGCCAAGGTGTATGCTGGGTTCTACGATTATGATGATGCTACCATCGAGAGGTCGAAGCAGCAGCGTGTCCCTATGGTCTTGGTCGCCAAGTGCGGTAATCCTCTGGAAGCCAACGAAGCCAAACCGGGTAATCGTGGAAAACGGGACAGTCAAATCGTGTTAATGGCCTTCATGCAGAAGGTGATGTTCGATGAACGGATGACTACCTTTGAGTACGAGTTCTTTAACTCGATTTGGAGGGTAACGGGTGTCAGTCCGGATCGGTACGAACTTGTGCTTTGTGTCGACGCTGATACGAAGGTCTTCCCGGATTCGTTGACGCGTATGGTATCTTGCATGGTGTGCGATGAGGAGATTATGGGCTTGTGTGGTGAGACTAAGATTGCGAACAAGGCTGAGACGTTTGTGACCATGATGCAAGGCATTTATTTGTTTTTTTTTAAAGTCTCTATTCCATTTTGATGGCTGATTGGGGGTTTTGTTTGTAGTATTCGAGTACTACATTTCTCACCATCTGACAAAGGCTTTCGAGTCGATGTTTGGTGGTGTCACTTGTTTGCCGGGTTGTTTCAGTATGTACAGGATCAAGGCTCCGAAAGGCGATTCAGGTTATTGGGTCCCGATCATGGCTAACCCGGATATCGTGGAACATTACTCGGAAAATGTCGTCGATACCCTGCACAAGAAGAATCTTCTGCTTTTGGGAGAGGATCGGTATCTTACCACGCTCATGCTCAAGACCTTCCCTAAACGTAAAAACGTGTTCTGTCCGCAGGCGGTCTGCAAGACGGTGGTCCCTGATACTTTCCGCATCCTGCTTTCACAGCGTCGACGATGGATCAACTCGACGATTCACAATCTGTTCGAGTTGGTTTTGGTACGGGATTTGTGCGGTACATTCTGTTTCTCGATGCAGTTCGTCGTTGGTATGGAGTTGGCTGGTACCCTTGTTCTACCCGCTGCCATCGCATTCACGCTTTATCTCATTATCGTGTCCATCATCCCGGGAGGCACGAATACGACCATCCCGCTTATTCTACTCGCCATCGTGCTCGGTCTTCCTGGTGTCCTGATCGTTATCACATCCCGCAAGATCGCGTATATCGGTTGGATGTTGGTGTACCTCCTGTCGCTCCCCGTCTGGAACGGTATTCTCCCTGCGTATGCTTTTTGGCATTTTGATGACTTCTCTTGGGGTCAGACCCGGAAAGTCGTTGGTGATAAAACGGGTGCTCATGGGGATAAAGAGGGGGAGTTTGATTCGACGCATATTGTGATGAAGAGATGGGCCGAGTTTGAGAGGGAGCGTCGATGGAAGAGTGGGACCCAGTCGAGGGACTCTACGTATGAGAGGAGGTATGCTTCATGTTTTTTTTTTTTTTTTCATCTGTAAAGGGCGGTTGCTGATTCTTTTTGCAGGACGGATAGTAATCGATACTCTATTGCTTCGAATTCGGATACCTTCCATCCATCCTCTGCGGCATACGATGGTAGCACGGTGGAGTCTGCCGCTTTCTCCCCACGACAGCGTCATGATAGCAATGCGCTTCTCATGCTTCCTGCGCCTCTTTCTGTAAATCGTGCAACGACGTCATCTGCTGCGTCGTCCGTTGGAGTGTCGCGGTCGAGTGAAGAGAACGTGTACTTGGACGCGGCAGGATCTGGTTCCAACCTTCGGCTTGTCCCGAGTGTACAATCTGCCGATCAATACAGCGATTCGTACGAGTCGAGTAATAATACGTCGACGGGGGTACAGTCCAAGCGCTATTCTACACCTCCGCCAGAGCTGCGATACGAATCACCTGTTCCTCGTCTAGCAACACAGGGTTTCCGGAGCAACACTTCATCGGTGGAAGGGCCTAGCGGAAGTGGGAGCGGGAGCAGCAATCCATTTTATACCATGACAACGTCACCTACGTCTTACGATGAACACAACCATCTGTACTCACCAGCGGAATCGGAGGATACAGTCGGCGGCGGCGGATACCGGAGTGGTGCTGTTCGTGGCGGTGTGCGATTGACTGACAGTGGGCCTGTGCCTCCCCCTGAAGGTGTCCGTCGTGTATCGAGGCCAGCTGGTGGACGACGGTCTTCGTCTCAAGTGCCTCAGAATAGGTATTCACGAAACTCGACGGTGTTTAGTCTTCCGCCTGGTGCTGCGGCGCCTCAGCACGGTTTTGGAAACAATTAAACGTATTCCTTGTGGTTTACGGACGTACTTTTTTTTTGTTTTTTTCGCTCTCGTTGTGTGGACTTGATCTTGCAATGCCTTTTTTTAATGATACCTGACGTTTTTCTCTCCATCCATCTATCATCATCATCATTATCGTCGTCGTCGTCGTTGTCGTCACCCCACTCGTTTCGTAGCGTATGTGTTAATAGCTGACTGACTTTTTTTTTTTAATAAAGAGACGTTGTAGAACTCCCTCTGCGATTTATGTGAGTGCCGTGGGATTTTGAGATGGTGAGCCTGGAGGTGGTTTTGTTCTGTTTGTCTGTACGAGTGTTTGGATGGTATGGGTGACTTTGGGACGGATCGAAGCTCTGGTACTCTCTTTTTCGCTTTTGTTCTCGTCGGCAAGTGGTAGTAGATATTATGCTAGTAGTCGGAATCCCCAAATTTTGATAGCCATTTCTGACTTTTGCTCAGGTTCAGTTGAATTTCTCCATCCTATTAATGGTCTGCAGGAATATGTGATGAATGAACTTGGAAGGATCAGAACAGGCCATGGATATATCGACGAGTAATACGCTCAATTTTTACCTAGGATACGCAAACATGTCATTCTGGAGTCGGGCTTTCATTCTGGAATCCGGACCGCAGCTGAGGCTTCCAAAGTAATCAAATGCAAACAAAGGCACGTTGTTTCCGTCTCTGCTGCTTCTCTTGTCGAGTTCCCAACAATCCACGATGGCGGCTGTATCTCTATCTTCGTCGCCAATAACGCAAGTATCGCAGACGCCTGTCGCGGCACATACCCTCCAGCCGCAACTGCTAACACGACTCTTACTGGATCTACGAGGGCGACGATTCGAGGTCGACCGGGAAACCATCATGAACCTTCCGGAATCTGTGTTGCTATGCCTGTTTCCAAATGGACTGGTGCTGAGCCGGCAGAGCGTCGCCGTAGATGGTGGCGATGGCGAGGAAGAGGAAGAAGTGTATGCAGTAGACGTACGTCGCACGCATGCATGCATGCATGCACGCGCCCAGGGTGGCTTAATAATAATGAAATAACTGACGGACGCCCCCCTCCAGTTCGACCCGGACTGCTTCCAATACGTGCTGTCTTTCTTCAGGAATGCCTCCGAGACATTCTACGGGACGTCCAGCTCTCCCGGCCTCTTCGCTGCCCAGCAGCACCTCCAAGACCTGCCGCCCTCACCCGAATTCGGCCCGCCGCCCTCGCAGAACCCGCTCCTCTCCAAGCAGGCGATCATCGTCCTCCGGGAGGAGCTCGAGTATTTTTCTATACCGCCCAAGAACGGTAAGGCGGCGACGGACGCGAATGGGATCGCGAACCAGCCTATGGTGGATTTGAAGTTCCAGTGTGGGCAGTATTTGATGGAGAAACGGAATATTTTCACGGCGCTGCAGCGGAATGTGAACAAGGAGAATAACGTTGCGGAGCAGCACCTTATTGATATGTTGTGTATGAGGTGCGTATGTTTTGATGGAGGTGGTAGTAGGGTGGCTGAAACCGGAACTTTTTTTTTTTTTTTTTTTTTGGGTAGTGGGTTTGATAGAGAAGACGAGTGGGGGTTCCGGGCTCTCGAGCCGTCACGGTGTTGTATATCCTCCATAGCCCTGGTGCTCCTCAAAACGGGAATTCAACATCATCCGAATAGCGAGACGCCAGTTGATATAGATTACCATCAGATGGCGACCGCACAGAAGTTGCTGCTGTTTTGGAGAAAACCTGCTGTGTGTTTTTTATTTTTTATTTTTGCTCTCTTTTGGGTTGGTTGGGCTGACTTGGGTTGTAGCGCAAATGCTGGTGGGACGGGATTGACGTGGAGTTGCCGGCACTGGGTGAAGGACAGAGCGATATAAAGCTGTGGGCTCGACGCGTCTGGACGTTGGAGCTTAGTTTGGTGAGTGATCATTCTTTTTTTTATCTTTGTTGTTTTTCCTGCCGCTGATGCTAGATAGATATAACCATATACCCTATTTCTCGGAGTTTCTTTGTATCTAGCATGGACAACGCTATCGTATACCGCAGTGCATTGTAATGACCATAACGAGTGGCGTCGGGAAATGGAAGACATGAGTATCGATTGGCGCTGAAGATTTCGGATCGTTGTGATTCGCAGAAGGTGTGGTTTGATGATGATCTGGATGGATGGTCACCGGGTTCTGATGACTACCGTTTCTTTGTAGATTTTTTTTTACCTCGCCGGCCGGAAGATTTTACTCAAAAAGTTTTGTTTTGCTAGGGAAGGGCGAGATGCCCCTGAGCTCTTTACTGATGATCTCTTTGCTGCGAGGGCGGAGGTAAGGTATCGGGCATGGTACGCGTGTGCGTCGTCCAAGGCACATGAAATCCCTGAGATGTAGTCGGGTGGACCAGAGCTATTCTTTTTTAGATGAAGCTCGAATCTAGCAGCTTATCTCGCCAAAGTCTCGAGGGCCCTGATGTTTTTTTTTTTTTCACAGCCATGGCTTTCTGTCCCCGTGAGTGAAGTAAAAAACGAAGCGAGAAAATAATCAAGAGTTAGCACATGCGCTCGAATCATGACTCATAAGTTGCCGAATCATAGCCGAAATCTTTCAGTCCTTTTTCATTCTCGCAAGATAGGCCTGCAAATTGGGCCGACCTATCGCTTTGGAGATTTCTGCTGCATAGAGTAACATTGCTACTGTCATCAACCCTCCTCAAGGTGCGTCCTTGTCGCATCATTTAGCCCCGACAGCCTTTTCATTTGTTGCTTATTTCGGTCCTGATGCTATTATTATGGGTCCGTAAAGCGCCTCCTCCTATCACGTCGACAGGCCATTAACGCTTTTCTTGGGAGAAAAGTGCTTTATTATTAATCTCGCTCGCTCGGGACTGGGCTTTTCCGTCTACGGACCAGCCGCAGCAATTTCTCTCGGGGTCGCGGGGGGTATGTATGTATGATGTTTAGCGCTGTTGGATGGATGACCTGCTAACTTTGTTGTCAGTTCGGTCCCAAAACTTGCCGACGACATGGGAGTCTCTCTATCTTTACACCCACCTTGATGAAGTTTTATAATTTTTCAAGTTAAGGTTCTGGAATTTGTTATGCGCCGAAGTCTGTCTGGTGAGTTTTGGCCTCCGCATTGCACCTGATTTGAGCCCACTGTACATAGGAGAGATTTTCTTACCGCTGACTGCGTAACCCGGAATGACGCCCATTTCCGCTCCACCATGCTTACGAGCGCGAGGTCCTGGGAAAGCCGGCATTTTGTGTCCTTTTTTTTGGGTACCTGAGCGCTGGGGAATGGTCAAAAAGGTACTACTAAATGCCCTTGACAACGATTGTGTTTCTGCTACATCCGATATGAAACATGTATGTACTTTGCGGAGGCAACGCGACAAGAATAACAGAAATGGCAACCTCCGGGGGTGGGGGGGAGGGAGTGATGGGAACGGATGTGGGATGACGGCATGAATGATTGAGCGATCCATTGTGATACATTTTGTCTTAAAACTCCGCTCGTCCCCCTCTTCTTTCTTCTTCATCCAGCGATATTAGATTACGGATTTCCGTTGTTCATATTTATTGCGCTCTCACATTCTTTCACTCTTACCACGACTACGACCGTCACCACCCTGGTGACTCTTCCTAACAAGACTTTGGCTTGACTTGGACATATCGGGTGGCCTTAGGGTATTGGGCTGGCTGACTGGCTGGCTGGCTATGAGCAGGAGTATTTAGTCGGGGTCTTTGTCTATTCACTGCGCGCTAGGCATGTCTTCACCACCACCACCACCACCACCACCACCACCTCTTACACCGGCACTTCCTGAAATCGTCGTCGAGGCTGGTTCTCCTCCACACGATGGCCCCAACGCCGACGTCGATGGCTCACCCAAGTCGTCCTCCAGCGCACTCTCCTCATCCGACGAGGGCACCCTGTACGACAAGCACCGACACAAGCTCTCAAAGTACCACGACCACGATTTCCTGCGGGGCCTGGCGGAGTGCGGGAGCGGGAGCGGGAGCGAAAATGGGGGCAGCGGGCGCTTCAAGGTCGTCGCTGGAGACGAAGCAGCGAGTATCGTTCGAAGTTATGCTGGGTAAGTCCATCCACAAAACCATGCCTCCTCCCCCTCTGACTTTGTTTACCTAATCCTTCCCCTCCCCCCTCTCACCTGCAGGAGCACAGTCGATGTGCGAGCAGCGCAGTTGCCCAATCTCAATCCGGTCGTGTTCGCGTTCTCGACGTATACAGCTGGCGGCCGGAAAGTTGTTGATTATTACAAGACGTGGAAGGGGATCGTGAGTAGTCGTCGCGTCTTGGTCCGTTTTTCGTATTGTCGGGGGCTGATTTCGCTATTTAGCCCAAGGCGCATCGTCAGAAAGGTATGCATGGCCCACAGTTAATGGAATGGGGCCCGAGTTTCTCTGATCCTCTGATTATCGGTCAGGCCAACGGAAGACCGACTTTTTGGACTCCGAGTTCAAGAGGGTCGTTAAGAATCTCGACAAGGAGTACAAGCGTCTGTCGTGCGTGTTTCTTTTGTCGAACACATTAAAATAATAATGCTCACTCTCACGAACGTGGCCCTCCCCCGTACCAGTACCGCAGGCTCGCCATCTGCTTCCCCGCAACAGCTTGGGATCAACAAGCCCCTCCCGAATTCTCCCCCTCCTCTCATGCGCCAATCATCATCATCAATATCTGCCAATGTCAAACAAGCCCCCCAATCGCCAACACCTACCACCGCAATGAAACCGTTACCGAAACCGCCAGCACTCAAACTAGTAGATGAGCCCCCACCTTCTGGTGGCCCTCTGACGGCGAGACCGAGTAAGTCCATGCGTTACTGTCGATCGCTTCCTTTCCTTTTCCTTTCCTTTCTTTTCCAGCCCTGACGGCTCTTATTAGACATTCCTCTTGTAGTTTCTGATAGTGTCGTATCGCTACCTTTCCTTGGACCAATTAACGGCTTAACCGTCCACGACCCGTGTAAGTCCGTCGGTCATCAGCCGTGATTGGCTTCTCCCGCTGACAGAAGACCAAATTGAATACAGTGCCACTGAGACTCGTGAACCCGGATCTGTACGTACTCTACTGTTTGGGTCCGGCATCGATTGTAACCCGTGTACACACCACAGGAAATCACCGACTGGTATGTCCAACTAATGTCCTTTCGGCGCCTCTCTGGTTTTGGAAATTAACCTTTTCGCTAGATCTATCATCATCTTCACGTTCGGATCAAGCACAGCATGCAGGTGAGTTTGAGTTTGGGGGGGAAGAAGTTTTTTTTTTGGTCTTGCTGCTGTACTGACCGATGGGTCTTTTTTTTTTTTTTTTTTCCTTCAGGTGAATAAGAGCTCACTTTCGTTTTATTCTTTCCTCCTTATTCGTGATTGGCAGGCAAGCACCGCAGGAGCAAGCATAGGTAAGTTCAGAGGACTCATACGGGACTGTCTCACGCATCTGAACGTCGGCGTTTATCAGGATGGCTTCGGCCGATTCTAGGCACTCCAAAGGCTCCAGAACAGCTTCTGACAGTGGCTCAAGCACGCATACATCAGACGAAGGACAAGGATACGATTCTGATTCTCCAGAGATCTTAATAGTCGTTGTAGACGAGAACAACAAGGATCTTCCGACCTGGCACGGGTGCGCACCTATCAACTTTTTTTTAAAAAAATTATACATCTTGACAGAAAAACTTATACTATGCGACAGCCTCGAAACCAACACAGGATCAACGCCACAACAGCCAGCTCGAGCGCCGAGCGTGCGAAGATCACCTTGGGACGGGCCATTGGCGAACACGAATGGCGAGGTGAGGCACTACGGAGTGCGCCCGGGCCGGTTCGAACATTCGGATGATGATGAGGAGGAGGAGGAGGAGGAAGAAGAGCCGCCGCTCGTGCCTCTCCGATATGCCCTCAGCCCCCAACCACCGCGTACGCCTCCACGTGCGATACCCCAGACCGGGTACATGTACGCGCCCAGCACGGCCTATGCCGCATCGTTGTACAGCAGCAGCCCCTACGCCGCCTCCACGGCGACTTTGACGTTCTCCCCGCCCCCTCCTCCGCCCCCCTACCCCGGCTCCGGCCCGTACCTCTCCCCCGCGTCCTCTTACCAGAACCTCTCCTCCCCGTCGTTCTCCATCATCCAGAGCCCAGACTCGTTCCGGAGCTTCGGCGCTGCACCTTGGGTCTCGGCGGAGGAGTTCCATCGGTATTCGAATGCGGCTACGACGACTTTTCAATGACTTCGGAATTGGGACCTTGGACCTTGGGACTTGAGTTGACCACCATCATTTGCTTGCTTTTTGCGTTCTTTTTTTTTTTTCTTTCCCTTTATATTTTTGCTTTTTGTTTTTTTTTTTTTTACGGACGAGTTTAGTGTAGGTATATTCCCCACCTCCCCTTGGTGGGTAGTGTATTTTATTTTATCTTTTTGAGTGTAATGGTAGTGTTTGGGTAATGATGGTATGATGGTGTGATTTGTTGGGATTTGGGGGTGGGAGTGGTGTGGTGGTCGAGGTGATCGTCGATTGTAATTCAATCAATCTTGAAGGACCCAATTTGGAACCGAATACCGACCGGCAGACGCTCACACGCTTTGATTGAGCGTTCTGCCGATCCCCAAGCTTCTTCTAGTCGACAGAGATTTTTTTTTGGATGTCGAATAGGAAGTTGTGGTTTATTGATATCTGATGTTCAAATTAATTTCTTGGACAAAGAGCCGGCTTGCTCCCTCCCTTCGAGGCAGATACGGCTGAGTGTGCGAATGATGCTTTTCTATCTAACAGAGAGCGGATGCGCAATAATATGCTGGAGTGTTCGACGAAACACATGACTCTCGCAAAAACGGGCGTTGAATTCCTTCCTGATGGGGGATAATGGTCCGGTTACATACATACAGGAATGACGTCATAGGCGATCGCGTTTATATATATGACGCAACAACAATGACGAATTCGTTTGATATTCCTTTTCCGTTTTCCCAGACCTTATCCATTGCCATGTCTCTACCAACGACCGTAGATGCAGTTGCGATATCCAAGGCAGGCTCTACAGGCTCTGTTTCGTCGCAAGACCTTTGTTCAATCGCTTTCAGACTGGAGACTTTGATGTCATCGAGAAGGCTACACTGCCTTTTCCAAAAGTCCATCCTGAGGACATCGTTGTAAAGGTATGTCTCTTGTCCGGTATAATCCAGAATATTCTCTATAACATCTTTCAGGTGGAATACTTTGGTGTCAACTTTATCGATACGTATTATCGGTCTGTACATCTATGAATCAGAATCTCTTCCCTCATTCTCACGCGGTCGTCACAGGAAAGGGCTGTACCCCATTGAAAAATTCCCCGCCGTCCTGGGAACAGAATCAGCAGGAATCATCGCTGCCCTCCCAACCGACGAAACCGTCCTGAACGACCCCGATTACAAGAAGAGGAACTACACCATAGGCAGTAAAGTCCTCGTCGTGCGTATCACACCCTAATTACCCCCCAAGACCCAAGGCCCACTAACGGAAAAACTCCCATCTGATTGAAGTACGGGCTGGGCGCGCACGCGACGTACGTCTCCGTCCCCTGGACAAAAGCGCACGCCGTCCCAGACTCCATCGGGACCAACATCGCCGCCGCGTGCGGCGTGCAGGCCCTCACCGCTCTGACCTTCCTCACCGAGTCGTACAACGTCAAGCAAGGCGACGTCATCCTCATACACACCGTCGCCGGCGGCCTCGGTTTGCTCATGACCCAGCTGGCGAAGCACCGCGGGGCCACTGTCATCGGTACGACGTCGACAGAGGAGAAAGCCGAGTTTGCGAAAGCCAACGGTGCTGATCATGTTATCCTTTATCCTGTGGAAGATACGGTTGAACGCGTGCTGGAGATTACGAAGGGTGAAGGTGTTCATGCGGTTTTTGATGGGGTCGGGAAAGACACGTGAGTTACGCTGGTTAGCCTGCCTGTCCCTTGCTCACTCTGATTTTGGAAAACTGTGTAGATTTGATAATAATTTGAAGCTGCTGAGGCGAAAAGGCACGCTGGTGTCTGTCGGTAACGCGTCTGGCGCCGTTCCGCCAAAGTCTCCGTTGGTGCTGACAAGTGGGAACTTTGCCCTCCTGCGCCCTACGTATGTCCTTCCCTGTTTTTTCTTTTTTTTTTCGAAGGGGTTTCTGATATATTTTCTTTTTTACTAGGATGGGTAATTATATCGTGACGCCGGAAGAAAAGTATCACTACACCACTGGGGTATTCGACCTCATCGCGAAGGGAGTTTTCAAGATCAATATCTTTAAGGAGTATCCTTTCACGGCAGAGTCTGTCCGACAGGCACAGAAGGATTTGACGGGCGGGAAGACTATTGGGAAACTATTGATAAAGGTGTGATTATTATATGGGTGATAATCGAACGAAATACAAAGGAGATTTTTTTTGTACATTATTTCATTTAACATGCGTGTAATCTGACTTGGATCTTGGTCGACGATTAGAGTGATTTAACGGCAACTGCGAGGCGGCGGGGAACGGCTTGTGGCGCATGAGCACTGTGTGTTACTGGAAATATTTATTCCTTGTCTATATATCGAGCTTTCAGTGCCCAACTTTCATAAATTCGCAGACGCTCTTACCATCTGCAGTAAACTTTACCTGTGTGCTGTTTTCTGCCAAGGTCCGCGCTCTCTGAACACGAGGATTTTCTGGAAACGACATCGCAGTGTGCGAAGATTTCTTGATGAGAGCGCGATAATATGAGATTTGAAAATCCTTGCAAAAGAAAGAGAAAGAAAAAGTGGAAGTGGGTTATCAACTGGATCCATGGAACAGTCATTCTCGCCTCTGGATCACCAACCTGAACGTACGTCATGCTTCTCAGCCGCGGGCACAACCGCAAAAGCCTGACTGAGAGAGGGTGTGAACCTGGTCCAGACTATTCGGGAGTCGACCATGAATCACGGGCAAAAGTGTCATCATTCAGAGACTTTACATGGGAAAGATTTTTTTGTGTGAAAGGACTCTTTGGACCTCCCTTTGAGATAGGGTCAAGTGAATTTGCGGTTGCTTGAGATGTTGTTGAAGAATCGACTGACTGACTTTTGCCAATGCAACGGTGCAGTTGACTATGAACATGCCTCCAACATGCAGGCTTCGCGGGGTGATTCCATTGCTCTGAGGCTGTTTCCAGCATAGCTTCGTGTACTTGCATCATCCTGCAACAGTCTCCTCTCGAGGTGAAGAGTACGATCCATCAGCTCGCTATCGCTCAGTCATAGCAGTGTAATCACTTAACCATCACCCCCTAATCACGAAGTCATTCCTTTTTCGTTCCCAGCGAGGATGAATTTCATCCTGATGACGCTCTCCCAGGTCTTCCGAGCCTCGTCCAACACCCACAATGTTCTCTCGTATCACTCGAGCTCGTCGATGTCATCTTCACTGACATTATTTTTTGACATTCTCCATTGCAACCCCACACATCAACGCTCTCAAACTTTCCAAAACACAAAGTTGGGCCACCGGCTACGATCACATATTCAAAGCCCTTATTGACCTCTTGGCTTCCCATCCCTCTACTCGGCAAAGCTTTCTTCCTCTCCTCGCGAATCTTCATATCAGTGCTATCAAAAAAGCCCTGTTCTTTCGTTGATCATGTTTTCTTAGACATGGTATCTTTGAGATGGAACACTAGGATCTTGTCGGCCGTCGCCCTGGATATATCGGGGCCAGGGAAGGAAGGACTTGAGTTGGGGATTGACAAAGAGTTTCGCAAATACCAAAACGACGGATTGGATATCAAACTTAGTGTCTTGCATCGCGATCGTGAAGCTAAAGCCCTATGCCCTATAAGAAAGAGATATGTCTAAATTTTAAAGATCATTCGTCCGTGTTGTAAGTAGAGAGCAGAGTAATGTAACAGAGGATTAGTATTAGCCTCTCGAGAGAGAAACGTTCTACTTAAATACATTTCGTATTACTTCGAGATCTTTCTACGAGATACTAAATAAGTCCGGATCACGATCCAAGTCAGCTGCTGCTGACTGGCATCGTATCTTCGAGTACGTTCTCGTACTCGCTCGGGATTGCTATCCCAACAGTCCGTACCTAGTTGCCTAGGCGTTCCGCTATCTCAACGTGCATCTGAGCGATTGATCGGGCCGAAAGTGATCGAAAGTGTTTCTCCCGCCACGAGAAGAACGCACGCACCCCTACTAGTAAAGTGATGTGCAGCGGACCCGCAGGAATGAGGTCATCAATAGCATGATTTGGGACAGTCAACATCTCGGGACGTTATATTATTGTTGCCCTTCAAGCCCGAGAGATGTCAATGTCTGGTGGGCAGGTTGGTTATTATGCATTGGGTCCACTGCAAGGATGTGAAAAATGATGGTAGATTGTTACGCCCCACGCGAGGCTCGAACTCACAACCTCAGAAGAATTGGAATCTATTTTCTGCAGCAAGGAATGACCTCTCCTAAAGCAGCCATTCATCATGCCAAAACTAGGTATATCTGATGCTCTATCCTGTTGAGCTAGAGGGGCACAGAAGCAGATGAATGGACATGAGGTTGGTGGATATTTTAGGATCATGGAAGAAGGAAAGATAACATGGGAAAAGCTGTGGAGGCCGTGTGATGAGCCTATGACAAAGTGCCGGCCCAACCTATTTTGAATGTCATGAATCTTTTATCATTCCACAAGGCTTCTGCTATGTTGCCAAGGAAAGAAACCTGTCTCTGCAATCTACTGGCAGCAGGGAATGGGTGGCGAGAGAATGTGATACAAACGTGAAGTTGAGATCAACTGTCAATAGATGTGCCATGAGGAACCACCTACAAAGCACTGACTGACGTTTCCACCTGCTCCTGAGATGTCAGCAGAGACAGTCGAGCACATCGCTAGAGGCCCATACTGAAAACGACCAGGTTCCGTACCTCGTAAACTTTGCACACATGGGCAATTGTTCATGCCAAAGAACATTGTAGATACTAAGTATCTCAGTCCCAGTGCGAGAAGAGCATGCAGTGCTCCTGGAAGGATAAAGTTGTCATGCATCTTTGGATCAAATAGCATGTCTATGCTTCCACAGAAGGAAGGAAGCTATATTTATGAAAGTGATGTGCAGTACTCCTGAAGGAATAAGGTCATTAATAGTATGCTTCAGCAGGGGGAGTCAAAGTGTCAGGAAGTTATGTTAATTTGCCATTGAAACCCAATGAGGTTTGGTATTTTAATACTGCCAGATGAAAGATGCATTTGAAGATTGTGAAAAATTGATGCAGTATGTGTCCTATATATATATAGGACTAT